TTTCGCTCCACACTAAGAACAAAGGAGGCACAAAATTAGAGATATCATACAAATTACAATTACTTTACTAGTCAGGTTCGTAACAACGTTGTTATGGCATTCTTCGTATGTTCGTCTCTCTCTCTCTCTCTCTCTCTCTCTCTCTCTCTCTCTCTCTCTCTCTCTCTCTCTCTCTCTCTCTCTCTCTCTCTCTCTCTCTCTCTCTCTCTCTCTCTCTCTCTCACACCAACATAAATAATCCCAACTGATGACAACAGGGAAACAGACACTGTTCAGAGTCTCCCCCCCCCTCCCCTGCACTCTGGTGATATCCCACGAGAATTTCCCTAAACAAATATCCCCAGCTCAGGTGGTCACGACTCTGGAGATCACAGAGACAGAAGGTCAATCTCGCCATTTCTGATATCGGGGTCCAGATATCAACCTATAAGTACTGTTGTACATGTCGGTTGGTATTGGGCATGAAGCCACAGCCTCTTCCTACCCCTTGTGTTACCTGGTGCCTCAACTTGTTCCTATCCCAAGTGTCCACTAATATCACACGCTATTTGTCTTCCTCTCCAAGGGGATCCTTCATTACTCACACAATTTACCTGTAATCAGTCGCCCAGAGCTAGGAGCTTAGCTCATGATCAATATCTGTGTGGGTGTGTGTACTCACCTAATTGTGCTTGCGGGGGTTGAGCACTGGCTCTTTGGTCCCTCCTCTCAACCGTCAATCAACAGGTGTACAGGTTTCTGAGCCTATTGGGCTCTATCATATCTACACTTGAAACTGTGTATGGAGTCAGCCTCCACCACATCACTTCCTAATGCATTCCATTTGTCAACCACTCTGACACTAAAAAAGTTCTTTCTAATATCTCTGTGGCTCATTTGGGCACTCAGTTTCCACCTGTGTCCCCTAGTGCGTGTGCCCCTTGTGTTAAATAGCCTGTCTTTATCTACCCTATCAATTCCTTTGAGAATCTTGAATGTGGTGATCATGTCCCCCCTAACTCTTCTGTCTTCCAGTGAATTAAGGTTTAATTCCCGTAGCCTCTCCTCGTAGCTCATACCTCTCAGCTCGGGTATTAGTCTGGTGGCAAACCTTTGAACCTTATCCAGTTTGGTCTTATCCTTGACTAGATATGGACTCCATGCTGGTGCTGCATACTCCAGGATTGGCCTGACATATGTGGTATACAAAGTTCTGAATGATTCTTTGCACAAGTTTCTGAATGCCGTTCTTATGTTGGCCAACCTGGCATATGCCGCTGATGTTATCCTCTTGATATGGGCTGCAGGGGACAGGTCTGGCGTGATGTCAACCCTCAAGTCTTTTTCTCTCTCTGACTCTTGAAGAATTTCATCTCCCAGATGATACCGAGTATCTGGGCTCCTGCTCCCTACGCCTATCTTCATTACATTACATTTCCTTGGATTAAACTCTAACAACGTGTGTGTGTGTGTGTGCGTGTGTGCATGTATATGTGTGTGCGTGTGTGTGTTTTAAGAGGTTCAACTTGTAATGAAGAACCACAGATAATAATCTGGGAAAGTTGTCACAGGTACACGGTGACCAATTAAGCAGATGCTTGGTCAGGGGCAACGCTCCGTTGTAAGCCTCAGGTCAACCTTGAGACAGCATAAGTTTTGATAACATCAGGTATTCCCTCGCCTTAAACGTGAGTGCAGTTCGGAATATTTTTTATGTATATGGAATGTACGAATTTTCTTTTAAAGAAGAAGATATTTCTTGACCATGTTTGATAGATCTATTGTGTTCTATTATTCTAGCATTCCACATCTCTACTTGTACTGATGTCAACTATATAACAACCTTTACAGGATTATTTTTTAAACCTTTAAGCATTCTACAGTCCTTTCTTTGGTAGACGTTAACCAACTCCTTACCTGTCTTAATGTAGTTAAGCACTATCTGAGTTATTTCAGTGTTAAATAACATCTTGGAAGGGCAGTCAAGTTTATTACAGTATGGAATTGCTATGCCAAGTTTCGGAATGAACTCGATATTGAATAGGAGGTGCGCTTGTACCGACATTTTCCTTGGGAATTGTAAGAGGAGTCATCTTGGGTAGCCTTTTTGCATGAGATGATTCTTGTCAAAATACTGGGGACCACATGTCAATAATGCTCTCCTGAAGAGACCAGGCTCCAGTAGTTCGTCAGGCTTCAATAGAACACCAGGCTTCTGTGTTTCGCCATGCTTCAATAGTTTGCCAGGCTTCAAAAGTGCGCCAACTTCACTAGCGCGGCAGGTTTCAGTAGTGTGTTAGGCTTCAATAATGCACTAGGCTTCAACAGTTTTTAGGGCTCGCAGTGAATTCATGTCTAGCGCCACAACTACCACCACAGGGAATCAGGGGTGCGTGAAAGTAAAGGAGGAATTCAGGTTCAATAAAATTGGTTGGTAGAAAACGTTATTTTATTGGTACCAGAAATTATACAGCCACAGGTCACCGCATCACACGCTCATTTGTAATTGAAACACCATAATTAAACTGCCGTATTTCCCCTGAAATTATACATAATGTGAACAATTTCTTTGATAACACTGAAAATCCGTAAATAGCTTTTACTAAGTTTGCTTCTTTTAATACTTGTATTCTATGCAGCTGATGCACTTAAAGGGTCCCCCATTTTGAGATTCTAATTAGAGAAAACTAACCAATTGATGAGATTATTTTTTTGTTTACCTTGTATTATTTATTTACTTTTAGCTATAAAAAATATCATATGGGTTAGGAAAGCTGTCAATTACTTCGCATTATCCATTTCTTCCACAGCCATGTACAAAAATAACATATAGTGGGTGTCTTTGCTTTTAACTGACAGACAAAAACGATAATATACTTTTAATAGTTAGTATACTGCAACATTAACATATATATATATATATATATATATATATATATATATATATATATATATATATATATATATAAGATTTATCACACATAACAGGTACACATAACAAGTATAATATGACATAGATCATTCACCATATTGAAACCTTTGAATATTAGCAGCACATACTATTATATATTTTTAATAAGCTCATTTTGACTTAGACTTTCAACACTCGGGTAAGAGTGGGAGGAGGAGACCCACGTGCTCCAGAGTCCCACACAACCGGGTCTTGAAGCACATCACTTGAAGGAAGACTGTGCTAGCGAGTCACTGCTCTAGTCAGTGTAATACTGAATCTTCCTCGTTGTTTTTTGCTGGTCCTGTGGGAAGAGGTCAAGCCTGGTACGTGTCCAGGGGGGTGGCTGTGACGGTCAAGCCTGGTACGTTGTCCAGGTGGGTGGCTGTGACGGTCAAGCCTGGTACGTTGTCCAGGGGGGTGGCTGTGACGGTCAAGCCTGGTACGTTGTCCAGGTGGGTGGCTGTGACGGTCAAGCCTGGTACGTTGTCCAGGTGGGTGGCTGTGACGGTCAAGCCTGGTACGTTGTCCAGGGGGGTGGCTGTGACGGTCAAGCCTGGTATGTCGTGTAGGTGGTGATTATAGTACAATTGATACGTAACTTAATAGTGGGGTATATATTACATTTTTACGCCTCGTGATACATAATTTACTCAACGTGAATAAAATGTGTCAGTGTTGATGCAAATAAATATTATGTATATTGTATACACGATATAATACAAATATATATATATATATATATATATATATATATATATATATATATATATATATATATATATATATATATATATATATATATATATATATAATCCCTCATAGTCTCTCGATTATTATCCAGTGAACTTTTACGACGACTTTTTAATTAACAATTTTTAAATCTGATTTACGATCTTTTTAATAATATAAATATGTGAATTGAAAAAAAAATGTTAGTTTTCTTTCGGCGGAGCCTGAAGGCGCAACGTAGTTTAAGCGACCTTCCTAATTGTTTACATCGTCAGTGAGGACAGCCGCGCGTGGCGTTCGCTTTCATTCTACGTTTAAAATTGTAGAACTTCAGTAAACCCTATAAATCATGGGCGGGAAGTGTCCATGAAATGGTAATGAAGCCTAAAGGCCAAAAAGAACCAGGGAAAACCATCGGTTTAGTTGTCAAAGTTAGTGTAAAATTGGTTCGATGCTTCAGAATGGAACCTTTGCTGTCGCGGGCTGGGACCACTGACCATGAGAACTATTAATATGGACGCTGACAGTGTAAGAGCAAGTGAACTCATGTTCGTGTGTGAACTCATTAAGTGCTATAAAAGTTCTGAAAGATAAACATTGAGTTCTGAAAAAAAAATAAGTGTTTGGATTAAAAATCGTGTAGAGTCAGTTTCTTAATGATTATAAAGAAAGATTTGAAAGACGTTAACGCTCATAGCAAGCAATGGGTGGTTTCAGAGGCTTAAACGCCGCTGTAATCTGTACAACGTCCAGATGACGAGTGAAGGGACTAGGACAGACCAAGAAGTAGCCTAACAATACCCTCAACACCCACACTATTCTCTCTCCTGGTAAGTAACTGTATTGTATTAATACTGAATGCTTCCCTTTTTATTTTATATATTTTGGAAATGATTATGATATAAACTTTTATGGGAAAATGGGATTAGATGCGCCGTTTCGATTAAGTCTATGTTTCATGAAATGTTTCCCGGCCGTAAATAAAATGAATATTAAAGTAATACATATATCTATATATATATATATATATATATATATATATATATATATATATATATATATATATATATATTATATTATATATTATATATTTTATATATATATATATAATATATATATATATATATATATATATATATATATATATATATATATATATATATATATATATATATATATATATATATATATATATATATATAATATATATATATATATATATAATATATATATATATATATATATATATATATATATATATATATATATATATATATATATATATATATATATATATATATATATATATATTACTTTAATATTATTTCAGACTTCGTGGAAAAATAGGAGCCGATATTTCTTGATGAGGTACACTGAGGCCGACTCCTACTGGCCTGTGGCATTTCCATAGGCCAGATGCCCCAAGCATCTGGCCCATGTCACTTCCATACCACCCATGTGTCATCTTGAACAGTTGGTTGACTGTAGCCCCAAGCATCTGGCCTCCGAAGAGGACAAATAAACAGGTATATGTTGATTCATTGGTTGAGGAATTGGTAACCGCTAGGTCGCTAGCTCGAGACTAAAAAATAGCGCTCTTTGTAATACGGTCTCATATGTATATGAAATATGTATTCTCTTTAGTTGCTATCAAATTAACAGAAAACAACAAGTTGAAACCAAAAGTAGTCAGCTGACCCGGCCAGTGTGACGGCTGCAGGAGCTACCTGAACCAGCTTTTTCAAAACAAACTATTAACACAAACCCACGCGAAACAAGTTTTAATGTGCGGGAAGGGTTTGTGTGTGTGGAGGGTTTGTGTGTGGAAAGTTTGTGTGCGGTAGTTTTATGTAGTAATTTACGTTTGGTGGATTATAGAATGTTATGTTTGTTGCGTGATGGCGCGCACCCACACACATCACACATTTACTCTCAGGCAACAGTCATGAACGAGAAAGATAAAACAAATGTTCTATCCCAAAATCAAATGGGTAAAAGCGAGTGTTCGCGTGTGGGGAAGATACGAGGTGCGTAGCCAAGTTGGGGAGCAGAGAGATACGAGGGAGAGGTAAGAGGAGGGCATATAAGGAGAGGTAAGAATCTGGGGAGATATGAGGTAGGCAGTTAAGAGGAGAAATTTTGCAACTTATCCTCTTACAAATTACGTCTGAATTTGGCCATTTGCCCGTATGTCCGAAAATTAACGTAATTTGAAAATTAAAAAAATTGAAAATAAATTTTATATTTTTTGTTTCTACAACATGAAGTTAAGGGTTCTCTGGTAGGTTAGGAGGGCAGGAAATTCTCCTAAAGTTTCAAATCGTTATGAAAACCGTCAAGGGAAAGTTTCCTATCCTAATCTTACCGAGTAAGCCAAAGGACCCAAACAGAAAACGGGACATTACATCACTTTCGTGAGCCGATTTCATTTCAAATTACGTCCCTTTTTGGCCATAGCGCGCATACGAGCGAAAAGCGACGTTATTTTTAAGAGGACGGGTTGCAAAACGTTAGCTAAGATGGGCAGGTAAGCGGAGAGCAGATCAAGCGGTTGTTAAGTGGCGGGAAGGTAAGAAGAGATTAGAAAAGAGTTTGGGGGGGGGATAGTTAAGAGGGGTAGGTAAAAAGAGGACAAATAAGATGAGGAGGTAAATAAAGGGTAATTTTGGCAGATGGGTGGGTAAGTTAGATGTTCATCTTAGAGCTTCGGGTTAGGAGTTGTGGTGCTGGAAGCAGTCTTGGAATGCATGAGAACCAGAAGTTTGGTTTTCTATTATCAGTAGGCATCCACCAGTCTCAGGAGACTATGGAGTTGTGCTCTGATGTCGGCCTGGTCTGGAGTGGCCTCACCAGGGCGCAAAGCCAGGGTAGGTTGTTTATCAGTTTTGATGGATACGATAAGAATACCTGGAGGAGGAGGAGGAGTGTGTGAAAGACTGACTCTGAAGCATGCCACAGATCTGGTCGTTACAGCCACACTGTCGGGCCGGGGTAGGAGGAAGTTAGTAAGGGTTGCAGGGCAAGACAGACACCGAACTCAAGACGTATGAGAAGGAACCAGGTTGTTAGATGCACTTGAGCTACCCATCCAGTAGCTTCTTGGCTAATCACTCTGTAAAATGTTGAATGGTTTGGAAGAAGAGGTGGGAGTCATACATCACTGTGGATGCGCGACGGGATCTAAGATGAGACGTACTGGCATAGCCCTCCTTGAACATACAGGACGGCTTCGGTTGACGGATGTCTGAGGTGAGTTGTTTCAGAACCCAGAATTGTGGCGCTCAGTCATGCACGCTGCAAGCAAATGGTGAGCCTAGCTCGGAGGAGCAGCGGTGACCAGACCCGTGTCCAGGTTGGTGAGAGCTGCGTACAGCGCTGGACGACGAGCACGACGCTCCACCGTCATAGTCGGTGGTGTTGGTGGACCAGGTGTGGATGTCGGCATCTAGGGTCCCTGACGACACCCCGCGGAGGCTGCTGGGGCTCGGTCCGTCCGAACTGACGTCGCCACAGTCGCCACTCCCCCGTCGTACAGCCTTCCTACCATGACGTCTGCTCATCTTGAAACCCCTCTGAGGATTCTTTTTCGACTTGTTTATTCCTGTTCGCTTCGAGTTGTCATTCCTGGGAACATAGTTGGAGGCCCTTGTGGTCCTGAATATGAAGCTGACGCGAGGTTCTGAGCCTTCGAACGCGGCGCAGCCTCGCGGGGCGTTCAGGAAGCAGGGTACCGGCCGTCATAAGCTGGTGGCGGGCATTGTCACGTGGCACGGCAGACCGGTGGAGTGGTGGAGCACGTGCGTGCCGTGCAGGCTGCCCAGGTGAGGGTTGTGCAGCGTCTGAATGACGCCGTTGGACTGAGGTTTGTCCCCGGACGACTTACTGCGGGCCTGTAGTGAGGAAAAAATTAATTTACTTCTAAATGCTGAATTTCGGAACAAAATGTATTTTAGATTCATTGTGTAAAATGTAGCAAAAAATCTTTTACAAACACAAACCGAGAGGTGTACTCTACTTCTTAGTGTGTATGTATGTGTAATATATATATAAATATATATAATATTATAATATAAATAAATTGTCAAGTACCATCGTGGAAATAAATATTTCATTCACTTTTCCTAGTGCCCAAGTGAATGAAATATATAAGAGTCGAGGCCGCCTTGGTCATTACTCCAGACAGTCCAGAGGTGCTCCCTTCTCACCTGTAGATTACCTATGCTCGATTTCGAGAGCTTTTGTACCTTTAGAACCCAGCCTGGCGAGGCTGGTGATAACATGATCGGTCATGCTGTGTCTGACGAGGTCCGCATGTTTATATATTCATATAAGCCAGTTGATCCGGCATTTCCTGCGGAAATTTGTCCAAATGTCTGTTGAGAATCTCCACCTGCATGCAAGTGTTATATTTATATTGTTATATCTAGTGGTTATCTATCTAGTTATTATCAATCTAGTTATATCTTCTGTTTCCTCAAGACCTTCGAGGAAGGCTTGACGTTCATCTCTCATCTTCCCTCCTGTAGGGAAGCTGGAGATACTCGCCTGTCTCTTTTCCCGACCCTCCACGGACGTTGGAGAACGCCCCTCCCCCCCCACCGTCCCACACACAAGTTCACTACCCTGTGTGTTACCATCTCTACAAGGCCGATCGATTGTAAAGAGTCCTTGAATGTTAGCGAAATTGCATTCGTTACGATCGCTTCGTCTGTATGCACACACACACACACACACACACACACACACACACACACACACACACACACACACACACACACACACACACACACACACACACACACACACACACACACATATACACACATACACACACACGGCCGCCTCTACACAAGAGTACGTATCCACACATACACATACTGATTTGTTGATATAATTCCAGTTGAATGATACATTCCGATGAGCAACAGTGTAAATGAGACATTCACGTTGCCCTATTGTGTTCTATTTTGTATTTACCACGGGCATGTGAGGTAACTAATAGGGTTGTGAGGTGGCTCGTGGGTTTGTGAGGTGGCTGTCTGCTTTGGGAGTAGAAGTAGGGAGTAGTTTGGGAGTAGGCTGTCTGCTCTACCAACTACAGTACTGAAGTCTGACACAAAGCAATAGACTGACCTTGTAGTGTAGTTTGGGAGGCCGAGGGCCGTAGCCGGTGCCAAAGAGTCCCTCGGGATCAGGAAAGGCTGAGGCTGACTCACAGCGGCGCTTACTAGTCCTTAGGGTGACCTTGAGCCGCCAGTAGTAACATAAGGTTCGCTTCACCTGCAGGGGGGGGGGGAGGGGAGGGGGGTTAAGAGTTCTCAGGTTACAGGTACAAACATCATGGGTACAGGTCACCTGTACCCATGATGTAAGTCACCTGTGGTGACTTACCTGTTTCATCATAAGATAAGTCATCATAAGTATAGACAGTCACCACAGACACAGTTACCTCAGTCAGAAATGTTCACCCAACAGGGACACAACTGTTGCACTTACAAAACACAGTAGCCACCACTCACCGTAGGTTAGTCAGTTAACTAAAACAGTAGTAGTCAATTTACTATCCGGTCATCCAAAGTTAAGCAATCACCTCGGGCAAAAACAGTCAACCAATCGCCACCAGTTAACTAATCATCTCGACTATCTCTAACCAGGAGAGATAGTCAATCAAACACCCCCGTGCAGGAAGCAGTCACCCAGGCAGAGCCAATCAAATAATTTCCCAAAGAAAGGACAATCAGTCAATTAAGTTCGATTTACCGCAGGCAGAGACAACCAATCAACCAATTTCCCCAGACAGAAATAAACATGTAGCCAATATCAAGCAGTTCTCCCTGGGAAAGACACTCACTCGCCTCACGACCTCAGAGAAGAGTCACATATCAACTCACGTCGCCGTTGAAGAAGCAGTATATGCAGGCGACGACGAAGCCCTGAAAGGAGGTGAGGAGGTTGGTGCCGTAAGACCAGACGCCGAACTCGAAGGCGGAGCGTTCGAGGGGTTTAGGGATCATGGTGATGGCGTTAGTGATGCCCAACAAGGGCAGGAGGAAGAGGGCGTTGCGTACAGAGCGTCGCAAGGGCCTGGACCAGATGGCGGGAAGGGGAGGGAAGAGGTACACGATCAGTGACACAGAATGCACTCATCCGATATAGGCTTGAAACGTTCCAATGAGTTCGCATCTATGATGTTACCCATTTCAGAACCGATGCTTGCCTATTACATTTTATATATTTTGTAGATAAAATTAGAGCCTAAATTATTTGTTTTTATAGAAATTATTCCAAGCAATTTCGAATTTAGAGATTTATATGGAATATTATAATTACGAGGTTTGGGTTGGAAATCTCTTAAAGAACTTTGTAATGTTTTTATCTGAGAGAATGTGTGTGTCCCCAAGGCTGGAGGCCAGACGTCTGGAACTATATATAATATATATATAATATATATATAATATAAGGTTAAGGAGCATGAATGGCGTTATGTTTCACTTGAGGGTCTGGGTCAGGGTGACACGCGTCCTCTGTGCAGGGTTTGACACTGCTTGTTGGCCCACATAAACCCTGTAACCCTAACTTGAGGCCGTGTGAGCACCTGGCCAGGGTGGCAGGTGGCGGGTGTCACTCACCTGATCTGTTGAGCCTCGCTGGAGCTGGCTTCACGCAACTTGCTGATCAGGATTCTCATGATGTTCATCAGAAAAAGCAAATTGGCCTGAAAAACACACACACACACACACTGGGTTTAAACATTTTGGTACAATGATTTACCAAATTATTATTACTGTTATAATTATTATGATTAATATATTATCAAAATATTATTATTATTATTATTTATTATTAGTGTTAATATTATAGTTACAGTGAATCCATTCTTTGGGGAAGGATTACAATTTCTGCTTTGTTTACTCATTCTCATCTTCTTGCTTGAGCGATAACTTGAGTGCGACTCTTGTAATTAACTTCAAAGACGTGTGTGTGTGTGTGTGTGTGTGTGTGTGTGTGAATAGCAGCAAGTGTGACCATATTACCATACATAAATCGGCCGCAAAGTCCACCACAATTACATCTTCTCAAATTCTCTGGCTTAGCCAACCATTTACAGTCACATTGTTTGTACTCACTAGTTCTGCCAGTGTTATACACATGACGGTCCTCGTGGCTGGCTGGCTACGCCACCTTCAAAAGGAACCAACTGAGAATGTAGCCGAGTATGTCGGATCATCAGTGTGACCCCTAACTACCGCTTCTAATGAGGAGCCTAACAGCCCATCCACCAATGAAAGGTCATTAGTCTTACACACCCTTTTTATCGGCTGGCGATTGCCGATTTCCTAAATTGATTTAACAGGTTAATTGGAGAGCATTGTGCTTGTTCAGCTGCGAAGCTGTTCAGCTGTGAAGCTGTGAAGCTGTTCAGCGCACGGGTTGTTTGTTCTTTGTGTTTTGTTAACAATGTGCGGGTGAGCGAGGCTTGGTGTGTCCTCTCGTATTGTCACTATATATGTGCACGTATGTATGCTACGCTCTACACTCACAATCCAGGATCCCGGGTTCGATCCTCGGACGGGACAGAAATGATTAGGCACGCTTTCTTTTCACCCAATGCCTCTGTTCACTTAGCAGTAAATAGGTGCCAGGGAGTTAGAGAACTGTTATGAGGTTGATATATATATATATATATATATATATATATATATATATATATATATATATATATATATATATATATATAATATATATTTATATATATATTTATATATATAATAACACATAGTCTTGCTGTCTCCTGGTACAGGAATTATTTATAATTATTACTGATTATTTCGTTAATTGTGCTCGTCTGTTCTTGTCAGGAACAAGGGGGGTCTAGGCGGCCTGGTTGAGGACCGGGCCGCGGGGACGTTGAGCTCCGAAATCATCGCAAGATAAGGAAACACTTGTGGTCAACTGAGCGACACATGTGTGCTCAAGTCTGTGCTTGGAGCGACACATGTGCAGGCAGCTGTGGCCAAATATTTCAGGATCTCGTATCCATCAAATGTTTCAAAAGACACCGACAAACACGTCCCGGCCATCGACATTTAACTTTTATGAGAAGTAAAAAAAATTACAAAAAAGTATTGGTTGCAGTGAACTTGTGGAGATCCGCGGATACCTTCCACGTCGACAGGAATTAACAAGCGTTAATACGTCCTATTCCAACTTATACCGAGAATTGCTATACATTGTTTATGTATTTGGTAGAGCTGCGGTTATTTGCTTTTGTGGTTCAAGGCTCCGATGGTCCATATATATCTATTAGAATATGTGTGATTGATTGATGAAGATTAAGCCACCCAAGAGGTGGCACGGGCATGAATAGCCCGTAAGTGGTGGCCCTTTTGAGCCATTACCAGTATCAAGAGCTGATATTGGAGATCTGTGGAGGCGCGACTGCACCCTGCGTGACGGGAGATGTCTCCCGGACCAAGTGGTGACCAGATGGTGAGAATATGTGTGTGTGTGTGTGTCGAAATTTTAAATTAGATTGTCTGTATATGTCTGTTGGAGGTCAGGCGCTTGAGGCTAGCTTCACCCGACTTTGCACGCTGATTGCTGTCAGGTACGTGCGCAACATGGCGTGGTGGTATCGCCAGAATTCGAGAGGAAACAGTATGCCATGGTCATTCACTCGCCCCGATGATGATTTATTTTTTTTCAGGAGCATTGGCGCTCGTTTCCCCAAATGGTTTGAAGTTTTGTTTTATTATAGTATTTTAACATCTTGCTAATATCCGATATTACCGGTTTTAAACAATTCTCACCAATCATGTTCATGCACCATAAGTGTTTCCGTCAGAAGTAAGTGACAAGCACACTATGACACATGTTTTAAGTGATTAGGTAAACACTTCATCGAAATTGCATGTGTCATCCCAGCTTCGTGAATTTATATGTGTCCGGAGAGCGCCATGTATGGCCTCTTAAAGTGGCCCTGCCCTTCACTGCTGCTCCAGCTGCAGGCAACACTTTAGTAACTGGTGCAGTGGCACGCAACACTTTATTGTTTCATGTAATTAGTAAAGAAAATTGCTAAACAGAGTACCGGCAGCATTATAATTGGAGAAATTAATTACAAAAGCAAATTGCGAGGAAGTTGAAGGTGCGGTATGCAGACATTATGAAGCGAAATGGATGAACACGACAGGAAATGATTTACTGTGAAAAAAATGTGGCAAAATGCATGAAAATGTAGCAATGTGCCGGATGACCTGGAGCCGAGAGTGTATCACTACGACACACACACAGGAAGTGTAGTGTGAGAATTATACAGGTACGAGTCTATATTGAGTGGAGGGTGGAATATATTGTCCGCTCCCCATCTCACGATAATAGGAACAATCTGAGAAATTGTTCATTGATGAAGGTAGGCTTATTGGTGGGAGAGGTTGTGTGTGGGTGTGTGTGTGGCGTCACACACACACACACACACACACACACACACACACACACACACACACACACACACATATGAGCTGTGTGACTAGGGGTCTGGTAGTTGAATGGACAGCGCGCGGGACTGGGACTAATCCTGTGGCCCGAGTTCGATTCCCGGCGCCGGCAGAGACAAATAGCCAGAGTTTCTTTCACTCTGATGCTCTTGTTACCTAGCAGTAAATAGGTACCTGGGAGACAGCTGTTAGGGGCTGCTTCCTAGGTGTGTGTGTGTGTGTGAAAAAAATTGTTAGTAGCTAGTAACAGTTGATTGATTGACAGTTGAGAGGCGGGTCGAAAGAACAGAGCTCAACCCCCGCTAGCACAACTAGGTCAATACACGTATATTTATAAAGAAGCAACAACAAATAGCATAAACTCAAATTTTATTAAATAAAGTTAACCAAATAGAAATATGAAGACTCGACTGAGCGCTTTCGGCCATTTAACGTGACCATTGTGAAAGTCAAGATGAAGGAATAAGAGTAAGACTGGAGGAAATATTAAGGAGGCGGGGGTGAGAGGAGGAGGGAGGCGGTGAGATGAAAGAGAAAATAAAGAGGCAATATACCAGAAGGTAATATGCCCTTCTGGTCCCAAGGGTTTCCGGTGGTAAATTTGGTATATTGCTTGTTTGTTTTCCTCTCATATCATGGCGTCACTTCCGCTCCCACGCCCTCCTCCTCCTCCTCCCCTCCCCATTATGTCCTTCTATTATTGTTATTCCTTCAGAGAACTGGGAAAAGCACATATAAGAAGGAAGGTACTAAATAAGAGTGTAGCTACCAATGGACACAGAACACATGTGTAGGTACCAGGAGACACAGGACACATAGGCCTAGGTACCAGCAGACACAGGACACAGGCCTAGGTACCAGGAGACACAGGACACATAGACCTAGGTACCAGCACACCACGTTCACTGATACTCACCCCAATGACGGTAAAGCGAGGGCCCTCAAGGATCCAGTAATATGGAGTGAAGGAGTAGCCCCACCAGCAGTCCATGTTCTTCCACAGCGCCATCACCGCCGCCCAGGACGCTGTCATGAACACTGGGATGCCTGCACCACCACCACCACCAGCACCACCAGCAGCAGCACCAGGAGCAGCAGCACCACCACCAGCAGCACCACCACCACCACCACCACCACCACCGCCACCACCATCAGCAGCACCACCACCACCAGCAGCACCACCACCATCACCAGCACCAGAAATTAAAATATTTTATTACAAAGCTGCAGTTAATAGATCAGTTGTCTCTTTGAAGCACATATTATACTCCTTCATGAGTACGCCTAGCAAAGCGACCAGAGACTTACGTACCCCAGCCGATGGCGTAGTAAGCGCTGTAGTTAGGCGGGCCCTGGAAGAACGCCACGCTGATGAGGTTGTTCAGATACATCCCCTCGATGAACATCCACATGAACATCGCTGAACGACCATACTCAAGGAGGATGTAGAACGACTCGCACAGGATGGGCTGAGGAGGCACAGAAGTAGTACATCAGTTAAGTTACACAGCGTGCCTGGAGACATATGTATAGAGCTGTGCAGGGATACAGAGGCACAGAGCTATGTATGGATACAGAGGCACAGAGCTATGTATGGATACAGAGGCACAGAGCTGTATATGTATACAAAGTGATAGATCTGTACATGGATACAGGGTCATTGATCTATGCAAGGATACAGAGGCACAGAGCTATTGGAGACATATGTATAGAGCTGTGCATGGATACAGGGTCATTGATCTGTGCAAGGATACAGAGGCACAGAGCTATGCATGGAGACAGATTTACTGCATTGTACAGTCTGATCGGTTTATAAAGGGGAAGTATTTTGCGAGACCAGCACACAGTTCGACTGATGTATATACAAAGTTTGAGAAGCAGACTTAGCAGATGAAACCTTAACAGCAGAATTTACATGTTTTGCAGAGCTGAATAATGCAAACTTTTTTTACGGTTAAATTTTCTGTTATGTGTGTCCCCAGTTTATGACGCTGGACACGTGAGACTGTATAAAGACCAGTTTTAATGGACCTAAAGTGGCTACACACACTGGTAGTGAGTCAATATTTATCTAAATTAGTAGTAATTCTAACCTAGATAATTGTAACCTAACCTAGCCTAATCTAAATTAACCAAACCTTGACTAGCCTAATCTAAATTAACCAAACCTTAACTAGCCTAATCTATCCTAACCTTATCTGTCCAAGCCTAACCTAATTTAACGTATCTAAACCCACTTTAATCTATTCAGATCTTTATGAAATCTAAGACTGTAAATGGGCCATCTAGTTGTGATGTTCTGCACTGATGGAGAGTGAATCTTATCGAAGAATGAGGAGCGCTCATTCAGGAGTAAAGCATTACCACACCACTGAACTATTGCCTAACATAAGATGTGACGATAATGTTAGAGATGAGTCCATTGGACACTGGTATTTTTTAGGAAAGTCAAGGGACTAGTCGCTCTTTTCTCGACTGCTTCCTGAGATAATATATGACCGTACTATCCTGATATTAGCCTAACACAAACATATTGTTTTGATGCTAACCTAGCCTTTAACCAAACAAAACTTAATCTAACCTATGTAGAAAATCTTGAAAACGTGCCAAATTAACGCCAACATCGTATATACAAGCAAATATAATTCTAATTTGACGCAAAACAGGTATTTTGAACATTGCAACTTATTAACTTTTTTTGTACATTGCAAATAAATCAGTTTGTGTTGTAATTCATCATCATATTGACCAAAAAAACTCGCAAACAACGAACACTACCAACACCAGGTTAGGTACAACTGTCCATCTGACCGGTAGCTCACAGTTCACACTTAAAGATTCGATGCACAGTTTATATATATATGGAGTAATGGTGGTGCAGGAATATGAGGCTACAGATCTCTCTTATATACTGTACTGTGTAAGTACAAAGAAATATGGACTTACCTGTAAAGGGAGCCGTACACAGCACACTGAGCTGTGCGGAAGACGGACACTGAATACTGTTGTCTCCAACAGTACGATATATTGTCTCCAATGCACAGTATATTGTAATGTAATATACAGGAGGATGGAGGCAACATACTGAACCGTGCCGGGAGACAGAGACAAGTTATCCGGAGCAGTAGAAGGAGACAGGGACAAGTTATCCAGAGCAGTAGAAGGAGACAGGGACACACTATCACAAACCCAGACACAACTACGAGCGGATGGGAGGACAGAGGCCCACTTGTGTTGTGTAGCAATACTAAGTTTGGACAGTCTGCCGTCCCACTCTGTTGACATGTGTAGACAGTGGCATGGATGTGCAAATGATATAAATCTCAACACAAATGGACGTGCGAAAACATGCTGTCCCAAACTGACGTTCGTAAACAGGAGTTGGTACAAATGAACGAACATAAGCGAGTCGCCAACACAAGGTGTACAGGGAAACCCAAACATTAATAAGACAATTACAGGCGATGAGTCACAATAACGTGGCTAAAGTATGTTGACCAGACCACACACTAGAAGATGGACAGATACAGTCGACTTGAGAATGGTCCAGGACGGACCGAAACGTCGTCGTCCCTTCACCTTCTAGTGTGTGGCCTGGTCAACAAGACAATTACAGTCATCTGTTTGTTCTATTAGAGAAATAAACAAACTATCGTTTAGCTTAATTAGCAATCCCGCTTTTTGTTGTTTACTCTGAATGTATCTATTAAACTTTTACAATATGGAAATGCAGGAAGGAGGGAGTGAGAGAGGGGGGAAATAAATGAGATTGGAGTGGATGAGAACACTGGATAATGGGACCTTGCGGAGGAAACGTGTGTAAGTTTATGAGAAATGAGACACAAATAGCACGAGGACGAAATTTATTGGACCCCCCCTTAAAAAAAAAAAACCCACTGGTTCATGCGAGGCAGCTGTTATTTATGACCCATCACTCTTACTCATATGTAAGTCTATCCAATACTCTAAACTTTCCAGGGAGTCTATTTCTATAAAGTTATCAGCAATTTGATTCATAAATCTCCACTCATATTTTCCGAACCAGTTTTCGTATTTATTTGCTAAATGTAAGCGTATTCGCCTTGAATTATTTTGTGTCCGAACTTAAACTTATAATTTCGGCAGCCTATTTATAACCCCCGTTGTTGAATAATTTCACCCAATTATTCAATTAACTCGACGTTCCTCCTTAATCTACGCTTTTCTTGAGGGTATAAATTAAGCTTTTTTAATCACTTTTTATCATGAAGGTTCCAAATTCACGGAATTTGTGAACCGTGACGCATAAATTTGTGCACTGAATGGAAGGAAGAATGGAGGAACTTTGAGAACTTGGGCAGTTACAAGAGTACACGTGACGAAGAATATGCAATTTGGTGTGCAGAAAACAGTACCTCCTATGGAGAGTGACAACTCCTATGGAGAGTGACAACTCCTATGGAGAGTGACAAGGTGGCTACCAAACTGACGAAAGCGCCCGGCGTTAAAGTTGAGAAAGGCAGCCATTGTTGGTGGGCTTCCAGATACGTGCAGTGGAGAGTTACAATTGGGTAGTTGGGGACGTGTGGGCTAGATACAGGATGGGACGTTCTGTCCAATATGTGAGCAGCTGCAGGAAGAGGAGAAGTCAGACGCAGAGGAGCCAGGAGCAGGAGGAGATTCCTCGCCTCGCCTCCTGCCAGGAGCAGGAGGAGGCGAAGATTCAGCAGGAGGTAAGAGCCAAAAGGACAAAGGAACCTGAGAATGGATCAAGTAACACAGGTTAAGTAGCAAGGAACACGTGTCATGAAACAGACGACACGGGTACAAACATCATATTCAACCCAGCCCGGACACTTCTTCAGTCTCGTGCACCCTTTGAAGTCACCACGCACCATCTACAGAGGCTCCATGCCCTTCGGAGCGGCTTCGTGAACCCTCCGGAGCGGCTTCGTGAACCCTCCGGAGCGGCTTCATGAACCCCCTCTGTTGAGTCTTTATGAATCTTTTCCCCGCTTGTAGATGCAGGAGGCGCCGCCGTCATAAGGGGAGCCACTAACCGTGCTGTCAATGCCGTGTCTGTCAGTGGTGAGGCCGGAGGCGAGGCCGGTGGAGTCTCCCCTGACGATGGCCTGGTCGGCGTAGAGGATGAGTCTCACCAGCACCTGCAGGATCATAGCCACGAAGAGGTTCTTGTGGATGCGGGTCCGGTTGTTGCGCAGCTTTCTGTGGGAGGCCGCCACACCATGTTAGTCACACCCAACACGCATATATACATACACAGTCGTACGTACACTACAATATATACTTAACTATATATAATTTGACATGTTCTATACAAGCACCTTTGGTCGGAAGCGCTCACTTACCTCCCTGCACCTTCTCGTTCTCCAACAACGATGCAATCACCGAGCTGCGTAATCTTAGTGTTACCTTCTTACATGTCATTCACAATAAAACATATGATGACTATCAACTGAAAACGAGAACGAAGTCATTCTAACCGAGCAACAAAATACACATTGTAACTGGCAAGAAGCGTATACAGGCCACAGGGAGTTGCGGGGGATATCTGTGAGGCACCACACAGGGAGGTGGGCGGCGTGAGGACCACCAGGAGAGGTAGACTTGTGGCACAGACGCTGGTAGACACAGTGACCTACGACAACGTGGCTTGAGTGTTAGATCTTTTATCATCTAGTGAAGATGTAGGACAGTAAGATACGTCACTGAATCATGTATAAATATATAATGTATGACAGTGTCAGACCACGGAGGAAAATTGAAACAGGAATTTCCTTAAGTACTTTCGTATATTAATACATCTTCACTCCTTCTGAAGATGTATTAATATACGAAAGTACTTCAGGAAATTCCTGTTTCAATTTTCCTCCGTGGTCTGACACTGTCACATTTTTAATCACGTGTTTATTTTTCGTGATTTACACACATATAATACATATATATATATATATATATATATATATATATATATATATATATATATATATATATATATATATATATATTATATTATTGTATACTGGCAGCAGGTTTTCTTTCAAACATGTTTCATTGAATATGACCGCATATTCTGTATTTATTATTTTCTTCTATCCCTCTAACTATTTTCTTAGCATCAGGGCTTAATTGGAATAGGAGTTCTAACCGCATATTCTGTATTTATTATTTTCTGGTTTAGGGTTTCTATCCCTCTAACTATTTTCTTAGCATCAGGGCTTAATTGGAATAGGAGAACTCCTATTCCAATTAAGCCCTGATGCTAAGAAAATAGTTAGAGGGATAGAAACCCTAAACCAGAAAATAATAAATACAGAATATGCGGTCATATTCAATGAAACATATATATTATATATATATATATATTATATATATATATATATATATATATATATATATATATGTCGTACCTAGTAGCCAGAACTCACTTCTATGCCTACTATGCAAGGCCCAATTTGCCTAATAAGCCAAGTTTTCATGAATTATTTGTTTTTCGACTACCTAACCTACCTAACCTAACCTAACCTAACTTTTTCGGCTACCTAACCTAACCTAACCTATAAAGATGGGTTAGGTTAGGTTAGGTAGGGTTGGTTAGGTTCGGTCGTATATCTACGTTAATTTTAACTCTAATAAAAAAAAATTACCTCATACATAATGAAATGGGTAGCTTTATCATTTCATAAGAAAAAAATTAGAGAAAATATATTAATTCAGGAAAACTTGGCTTATTAGGCAAATCGGGCCTTGCATAGTAGGCTGAGAAGTGCGTTCTGGCTACTAGGTACGACATATATATATATATATATATATATATATATATATATATATACATGATTCAGTGGCGTATCTTAGGGTTTCTATCCCTCTGACATACTCTTGCATCTTGGTTAAATTTTAAGAGGATTTCTCCAAAAGTCATCTTCGCTCGATGTGAAGAAAAAGAAAAAATAACTGTAGAATGTATTACACTTATTATAAAATTACGCAACGTTTCGAACCTACATGGTTCATTCTCAAGTGATGGGACTGTACAGGGCATATTGGATTTATACCATTATGGGGTCAGCTGCAGACAAATGGACCGAACAATGGGGTTTATAGGTCTATACAAATGGATCAAGAATAAGGCGTAAAGGAGAGAAGAGTAAGGCGTAAAGTGTGAAGAAAAAGACGAAAATAAGGTACAAAGATTAATCAGGTGTAGTGAAGATGGCATGTTAAGCAATGTCTTCTACGTTGGCATCTTGACATTCCGGTCTTGTTCTTACTCTCCTGCTGGGTAGAGAGAATAGTTCCGTAATTTGGGTATTTATGGCAGGTTGTTCTATTTTTATGTGGATTGCTTCAAGAATTTGTAATCTTATATCTTGAATTTTGACTATTATACAAGTGCTTTTATTCAGCATTTCTCTTGTGTACTGTTCTCTTGTGTATTGTGCATTTCTCTTGTATTTGAGCGACAATAACAGCCTCAATAACACTAACAATAACAGGAGGCGGCGCTAAGAAGGCAGAACAAAGCCTCACAGAGCAGTGTGGGGGGATAGGGGCAGCTCGTGCACCATTACGCTCCACACATCAAACCCGCTTAATTTACAGAGACGTAAACACATAGTAAGCGGATCGTATGGTGTCCCTGGCCTGCAGGTGTGTACACAGGTGTCCCTAGCCTGCAGGTGTGTACGTATGGTCATGTTTAGGTCATTTCAAGTGAACGGGGGACGGCAGGTGTTGAAGAGGGGGGAGGGAGGGAGTGTTACAGGAATGGGGTGACAAGAACCACATATAAGACGGGTCGTCTGCACTATATTGTTTATCCTTGTGTCTAGAGATGTTGTGTTCCTGACGCGCTGCCTTGCGCTCTCTCTCTCTCTCTCACACCCTGCCTCACCTCTCACCTTCCTCCTCCCTCACCTGTACCCTCACTTCCCTCACACTCATATCTCAGAGAATGGCGCGTTTCCTGGGAACTTTGGTCCGTATTCACAGGCTGACCAAATGCTTATCTCAGCGCCCCGCTTTGCTTCCTTCTCTTCATCTCAGCCAGACTCTGTCGACAGTCTGTAGCTGACGAAGGGGGCCGGCTTCTCCCGCGGCAATACGGAGTTGGTAGGTAATTGTCGTGGGTGGTGGTGGGGGCTTTACATGGGAGGGAAGTGTCTGGTTGACATGGGAGGGAAGTGTCTGGTTGACATGGGAGGGAAGTGTATGGTTGACATGGGAGGGAAGTGTATGGTTGACATGGAAGGGAAGTGCCTGGTTGACATGGGAGGGAAGTGTCTGGTTGACATGGGAGGGAAGTGCCTAGTTGACATGGGAGGGAAGTGTATGGTTGACATGGAAGGGAAGAGTCTGGTTGACATGGGAGGGAAGTGCCTGGTTGACATGGGAGGGAAGTGTCTGGTTGACATGGGAGGGAAGTGTCTGGTTGACATGGGAGGGAAGTGTCTGGTTGACATGGGAGGGAAGTGTCTGGTTGACATGGAAGGGAAATGCCTGGTTGACATAGGAGGGAAGTGTCTGGTTGACATGGAAGGGAAGTGTCTGGTTGACATGGGAGGGAAGTGTCTGGTTGACATGGGAGGGAAGTGCCTGGTTGACATGGGAGGGAAGTGCCTGGTTGACATGGTGCTTTACTAGTATAAAAGGTTAGATGGACTGAGCTGGCAGGTAGATGGCAGCATTACACACTAGGGGGACACAGACGCATGCGCACTACACACTAGGGGGACACAGACGTATGAGCACTACACACTAGGGGACACAGACACGTGCTCACTACACACTAAAGGGACACAGACGCATGAGCACTACACACTAAAGGGACACAGACGCATGAGCACTACACACTAAAGGGACACAGACGCATGCGCACTACACACTAGGGGATACAGACACGTGCGCACTACACACTAGGGGACACAGACGCATGAGCACTACACACTAGGGGGACACAGACGCATGAGCACTACACACTAGGGGACACAGACGTATGAGCACTATACACTAGGGGGACACAGACGCATGAGCACTACACACTAGGGGGACACAGACGCATGAGCACTATACACTAGGGGGACACAGACGTATGAGCACTATACACTAGGGGGACACAGACGCATGAGCACTACACACTAGGGGACACAGACGCATGAGCACTACACACTAGGGGGGGACACAGACGCATGAGCACTACACACTAGGGGGACACAGACGCATGAGCACTACACACTAGGGGGGACACAGACGCATGAGCACTACACACTAGGGGACACAGACAGACGCATGAGCACTATACACTAGGGGGACACAGACGCATGAGCACTACACACTAGGGGGGACACAGACGCATGAGCACTACACACTAGGGGGACACAGACACGTGCTCACTACACACTAGGGGGGACACAGACAGACAACGTAGCGAAGTCCAGTACCTGAAGCACGGCTGGGATAAGGGGCTCCTAAAATCTACGAATCTGCAAAGGGGAGAGGGGAGGCGAGTTAATACACGGGTAGTTAGCGGGTTTAATTGGGTCAAGATGATTACAAGAGTAATCACACCACACATGCTGCCATTGATGCTAGGAGCACACACATGTTAGTTTGGGGAGCTTGTGTATAGGGGGAGATGTCTTAAGGCACGAGGAAGATATACCCTGTAGGGACAGGTCACTGGTAGGGACAGGTCACTGGTAGGGAAAGGTTACTGGTAGGGACAGGTCACTGGTAGGGACAGGTTACTGGTAGGGACAGGTTACTGGTAGGGACAGGTCACTGGTAGGGACAGGTCACTGGTAGGGACAGGTTACTGGTAGGGAAAGGTTACTGGTAGGGACAGGTCACTGGTAGGGACAGGTCACTGGTAGGGACAGGTCACTGGTAGGGACAGGTCACTGGTAGGGACAGGTCACTGGTAGGGACAGGTCACTGGTAGGGACAGGTTACTGGTAGGGACAGGTCACTGGTAGGGACAGGTCACTGGTAGGAACAGGTCACTGGTAGGGACAGGTCACTGGTAGGGACAGGTTACTGGTAGGGACAGGTCACTGGTAGGGACAGGTCACTGGTAGGGACAGGTCACTGGTAGGGACAGGTCACTGGTAGGGACAGGTCACTGGTAGGGACAGGTCACTGGTAGGGACAGGTCACTGGTAGGGACAGGTCACTGGTAGGGACAGGTCACTGGTAGGGACAGGTCACTGGTAGGGACAGGTCACTGGTAGGGACAGGTCACTGGTAGGGACAGGTTACTGGTAGGGATAGGTTACTGGTAGGGACAGGTTACTGGTAGGGACAGGTCACTGGTAGGGACAGGTTACTGGTAGGGACAGGTCACTGGTAGGGACAGGTCACTGGTAGGGACAGGTTACTGGTAGGGACAGGTCACTGGTAGGGACAGGTCACTGGTAGGGACAGGTCACTGGTAGGGACAGGTTACTGGTAGGGATAGGTTACTGGTAGGGACAGGTCACTGGTAGGGACAGGTCACTGGTAGGGACAGGTTACTGGTAGGGATAGGTTACTGGTAGGGACAGGTTACTGGTAGGGACAGGTCACTGGTAGGGACAGGTTACTGGTAGGGATAGGTTACTGGTAGGGACAGGTCACTGGTAGGGACAGGTCACTCGTAGGGACAAAAAAAAGATAATGCTGTATCATAGATATGATTTAAAATTTTGTTGTTTTAAAGTCTGAGAAGTTGTGTAGTTTTATGGAGCGTGAAGCAAGATCCTTCCTGGAGCCTCAGAGCCGTAAGCCAACTTACATATACTTGGACTTACTTAGAGGCGCCGCTGACCTTAGACACCTTACTTAGAAGGTGTCGAACTGTTGCCCTGTACGGAGCAGGGACACACACACTGTACCTCCTTAACGCAAGTATAAAAATGGGTTCGGCTTACACAGTAAAATCACAATACTTTGATATGTGAACGAGAAAATATTTTTAGAGCAATGCGATGGGATCGAACTTGTATTAAGGTATCAACCCACACTCAAATTCAAGGTCTTAAAAGTGTATATATTATACGAGCAAATATATACATACAGGGATGCTGTATTAATGTCAAATCTCCCATGTGTTTATGGCGATTTTTCGCTGTTATCGTTTCAAAGTCAAACAAAAAGAAAACTTCAAGAAATGGACTACCATTCCACTGACACCTTGTGGAATGGTTAGCGCTCAATATCTTGCCTCACACCCGTTCTCACACTTTCGTATAGTCAATATTGACTTATTAAAATACGTGCATATCTGACATACTAAACATACTAGTTTACCTTGAAAAGCTTGATAGAAAACACCGACCTTACCTAACCTTCTTAGTATGTTAAGATAAGCATCTTATAGCTTCGTAATTACAATTATTACTTAACCTATTATAGGTATAGGTTAAGTAATAATAGTTGACCTTTTTCTTCCTGGTGACCTATTCTAAAATGTTTAACAATTATACTTACATAGCAATTAATAAGTAATTGCTTTAGTCATGACCCACATCCAACCAGTGTGTGTAATACCTCACTTAATGCGGTGTTCACTCTATCTACATAATGATCTACATATTGTGGTCACTGCCTGACATACCAATGACCTCATGACAAGGCTTAACAGGCGGACCCACTTAAATCTGAACTACTAGAATTTATAATTACCAATAATTTGCTCTCTGGGTTTGTTAATTAGAACAGTGCCTATATGGACCCCTTGAAGAGTGCAGACATTGTCGCTAGCAAAGTGCACAGGTCGGCAGTACAAGAGTGCAGATATCGTCAGTACAAGAGTGCAGATATCGTCAGTACAAGAGTGCAGATATCGTCAGTACAAGAGTGCAGATATCGTCAGTACAAGAGTGCAGATATCGTCAGTACAAGAGTGCAGATATCGTCAGTACAAGAGTGCAGATATCGTCAGTACAAGAGTGCAGATATCGTCAGTACAAGAGTGCAGATATCGTCAGTACAAGAGTGCAGATATCGTCAGTACAAGAGTGCAGATATCGTCAGTACAAGAGTGCAGATATCGTCAGTACAAGAGTGCAGATATCGTCAGTACAAGAGTGCAGATATCGTCAGTACAAGAGTGCAGATATCGTCAGTACAAGAGTGCAGATATCGTCAGTACAAGAGTGCAGATATCGTCAGTACAAGAGTGCAGATATCGTCAGTACAAGAGTGCAGATATCGTCAGTACAAGAGTGCAGATATCGTCAGTACAAGAGTGCAGATATCGTCAGTACAAGAGTACAGATATCGTCAGTACAAGAGTGCAGATATCGTCAGTAGTGGGCATCCTACAGTCTCAGGAGACTATGTAGTTACGCTCTGGTTGTCGAGGCTGGAGTGTCCTCTCCAGGGTGCAAAGCCTGGATAGGTTAACATGGAGAAGAAGCTGTTACCCATGCAGCAGGTCCCCCCTGCAGGTCCCCCCTGCAGGTCTCCACGATGCTGAAAGTTTCCGAAGGAAAGGTAAACACCAATACACTTGGTTCCAGCGCCGTCGCAAGAGCTGCCAGAACGAGGTTGAAGTCAACAACAAACTGCCTTAGGGGGCTCCAACTCCGGATTTTTCCTCGAGGTTGACTCCTGAAGCCCGTCCCAAAAGTTGATATGGCCGCGAGGCAGCGGAGGTTTGAAGTCTGGGATTTCCTTCCCGTAGATGAGCTGCCGTCTCAGGTTGTCCAGTCCCATCTACCCGGAGCAGCTGGTTGTAAGGCGCCAGAGGCACGAGTACGAGGCCCTTCAGGGCCGCCCCTGGTACTGCTGCAGCAGGCTGGTAGCCTTACCGAGGGCCCTGCACAGCCCCCCTGCCGCCAGTGCACATATCGTCGACAAAGAGTGCACAAACACGCTTTCTGAACTCTTCAGCCGACCAAATACGGAACGAAATTAGTTTAAATAAATTATGCAAATTTGTGTAATGCGCACATTAACCGGAATAAGGAATGTCTTTGAGGGCGAAGAGATGTGGAGGGAGAGAGGGATAACGATAACAAGATAATAAAAAGACTTACTTGAAGTAACTGAAGATAAAGAGGGAGAGGAGGAGTGACACTAGAGACAGCGTCAGTCCGATGATCTCCATCGCTCGGGACCCTTTGGCCACCAGGAACTTCATCTGTGGTGAGAGATACGTCATGGTGAGAGAGGGAGAGACAGAGAGAGAGAGAGACAGCGAAAGGGAGAGAGAGAGAGAGAGAGAGAGGTGTGTGTGGAGAGCGTGGTATAATGTCAGCAACTTGTGGGAGGCAGCAGTAGTGGGTGGGTGTAGGACCATCTGGGGTAGTTGTTATTGCTATAATATTGGGGGCTGGAACTCGGGTCAGGCAGTTCTAAACAGGTGCTTCTCCTCAACACAGACGGCCTTCAACTACTTTAGAAGACCAGTTTCCACTACATTCTCCTCTCACTCTTGCCTTCCTCTTCTGCCTATTTCCTACCACTTTTATCCCACTCTTTCACTCATATTGTCTTAGCTTCACTCACTCTTTCTCAAACTTTCTCGCTTTTTCTCACAATCTCATACTCTCTCTCTCTCTCTCTCTCTCTCTCTCTCTCTCTCTCTCTCTCTCTCTCTCTCTCTCTCTCTCTCTCTCTCTCTCTCTCTCTCTCTCTCCTCTCTCTCAGACACACACACACACACACACACACACACACACACACACACACACACACACACACGGACCTGAGCGTCCTCCTCGGTGCCGGAGTAGAGCTGGTTGAGAAGGTTCCTGACGTCTGGGGTGAAGCACACAGTGTAGTTGGTCCAGCCGGCGGGGTTGTGGTCCTTGGCGTCCTTAGGCAGCCAGCGGCCGTCCGTGGAGCAGGTGCGGTAGGCGGTCTCTGCAACACAGAGTGGGCCCAAGTGTTAACTAAGCTCTTGATAATTGTATGAGAGTGTTTGATGTATAGTTCTTGTGTGTGTGATCTAATGTTGCTGCATGCCAACATACTTACCATAGACGTCAGGTTTAAGGCCCATGTAAACTAGGAATTTTTCCTCCTCAGTGTGTCAATATTCAAATTCTCAAATAGGACTCCGGAGGTAAAACCCATGACGACGCTGTTTGTTTGTTTATATACTATTCGTTTTCATCGTGTAATTGTCTAAGTATACATTCTGGGATGTCAAGAGCTGCTCAAGCTTTATTCCATTAACTTTGTATATCATCATGCCAATTGCCTCGTGTACATTTGGCTCTATACGCACGTGCTTTCAATTATAACTTTCCGAAGGTATTTGTCGAGATATTGTGAGAGTCAGAGTCATCAGGTATTACTGCATGTTGAGTCTCTGTATTTACGAAGGTGTAATTTCCTCTAAGACGTGCCTAGTGACATGAACTGATTATCACCTTATACACGATGACTATATTTGTATGCATAAAAGAGCTCTGGGGCTAGATTCACGAAAGCACTTACGAACGTGTACATCTTTCCTCAATCTTTGACGACTTTGGTTGCATTTATTAAACAGTTTACAAGCATGAAAACTTGCCAATCAACTGTTGTTATTGTTATAAACAGCCTCCTGGTGCTTCGGAGCTCATTAACTGTTTAATAATTGAAAACAAAGCCGCCAAAGATTGAGAAAAGATGTACAGGTTCGTAAGTACTTGCGTAAGTGTTTTCGTGAATCTGACCCCTGGAGAGTTCACCCAAGTTTGAGAAGAGTTGATACTCACGCTTGAGGTCGACGCCCTGTACAGGAGGACACGGGAGGGTCATCCTGGTGTTGGCCAGGGTAGGCGGCCAGCACATAATGTTGTCCCAGGTGGCGTTACAGTACACAACTGTAGGGAGATGGACACTAGGTTACATGGGTGCGAGGGACGGCGCACCGGAGGAAGAGCATACACAGTCCCAGGGAGCATACATGTGTCACAGGAGCATACACAGTCCCAGGGGAGCATACATGTGTCACAGGAGCATACACAGTCCCAGGGGAGCATACATGTGTCACAGGAGCATACACAGTCCCAGGGACCACCAAGGGACCACAGGCGTGGAGAGGGAGGAAGGATGGCTCCTCACCACCTTCGACCACCATCGGCAGTTTAGCTTATGTAGACATACGAATCTTCCTACATATTCTTTTTTTCTCAAGTTATTCTATTCATATCACGTATCCGCCTTCAGGTCCCTGCTGAAGGGTCCGAGATGCGTAAAACTTTGTCCCTAGTGAATATTTCGCGCTGGAAAACAAAGAAGTAATTAACGATGTTCTAAAGAGAAAGAATGTGTTTCTCTTTGCTCTTCAGAGCCCCGCTCTCTTTGCTCTTCAGAGCCCCGCTCTCACCAGTCCTCCACTCACTTTAGTCGGCCTAGTCCCCCTTCCCCGTCGCCCACACACACACACACACACACACACACACACACACCTGCCAGGGCTCAGGCCCACCGCAGCAGCCGCAGCAGGAGCAGCAGCAGCAGCAGCAGCAGCAGGAGCGCCGCACAATACACATCTGTGTTCGCCTTCCACTTTGCCTACGTCAGGGCTCCCTCACACCCGAGGGGAGGTGAGGGATGGGTGAGTGAGGGCAGGTGAGGGATGGGTGAGTGAGGGCAGGGGGGGGGGGAGCAGTGAGGGTCAGCGGGAAGGGAGAGGTGAGGGGGGGGGGGGGAAGACACTGAAAGTCGCCAATAATATGTAGAAGACTTGTTGCTAGCTGCAACATTAGGAGAAGACGGGTGGTGCAGAGCGTCTCAGACATCAGGTGACGCGGGTAGTAACCTCTCCCGCGCCTCGCTCCACTTCTCACACTTAAGAAAAAAGTCTACTACGGGCTCACCATAGCCCGTGCTACTTGGAACTTTTTGTTCCAAGGAGCGCATCTTAAACAACATTCTCACACTTTTTGTTAGTCTTGTACAAAAGTGTTCTTACCGTCGATTTGTTCTGTATAAAAAGTGGGTCTCCTAGTATTCCTGCCCCATAATGAGGTCTAATCAAAACTTTAGTTCGGTCCTGTTTTCAGTGTTTCAATTACATGAAAGCTCAAATTAGCAGGCCGTCCTCATCAACAAGTGATAAATGCTCGTTAATCCAGCCACCAAACTTCATGTTTACGAATGAAAGCCATTTGCACACGACTCACAAACTGACATTCGGAGATTTCTCGATCAGTACATCGCTGACGACTTCTGTTCGAATCGCAACTTTGTAAATACAAATATTTGTAAATACTTTGTAAATACTACTGTAAATACTACCCACGTACTACAAATACAAATAATTGCCAAAAGAACCTAAACACCTAACCTGTTCTACGCCTGAATATACACAACATGCTAATATATAATTATATGTGAGAAAATTCCTATATTGAATGGGATAAAAATTTATGAACACGTCTTTGGGTTCGGCAAGTCACGACCCATGAACCAATCACAGCTGAATTCGTTGATGCGAGATGTAAGAGGTCTTATCTTCGTCACCAGTGGGAGGAGACCAGTGACGTAAGAGCTCCACCAAGCGCCATATTCTTACCTAAAACAACACACAAAACATCACATGCAAACCTGATATATGTTTTTGAAATACGGTTTATACCTTGGCTACCTTGAGGTGCTTCCGGGGCTTAGCGTCCCCGCGGCCCGGTCGTCGACCAGGCCTCCTGGTTGCTGGACTGATCAACCAGGCTGTTGGATGCGGCTGCTCGCAGCCTGACGTATGAGTCACAGCCTGGTTGATCAGGTACGTATAGGCCGTAACCTAATTATCCAAGACGGCTAAGTCATCCCATTATGGGGCGCGATGGTGTAATTAACTTAGCCCACTTCCGCGTCAAGAAGTATCATTACTTTAGGCAGTAAAGCTTTCCAGTGAAGCGGACAAACAGACGCTCGACAGATCTACCGAGTTATTAATGTTTGGAGGAGAAGAGCCAGTTTCTGGTGACTACAGTTCTTGGAGTCACTCCAAGACGGCCGGAGCTCGGCGTCGCCACCTTCATGAGCTGTGTCGCTCTCTTGTTAGGGGCAAGCACAGAGACGTATCAGGTCACCCTGGAGACCAGGACAAGCACAGGGACGTGTTAGGTCACCCTGGGACCAGGACAAGCACAGGGACGTATCAGGTCACCCTGGGACCAGGACAAGCACAGGGACGTATCAGGTCACCCTGGGACCAGGACAAGCACAGGAACGTGTTAGGTCACCCTTGGACCAGGACAAGCACAGGGACGTGTTAGGTCACCCTGGGACCAGGACAAGCACAGGGACGTGTTAGGTCACCCTTGGACCAGGACAAGCACAGGGACGTATCAGGTCACCCTGGGACCAGGACAAGCACAGGAACGTGTTAGGTCACCCTTGGACCAGGACAAGCACAGGGACGTGTTAGGTCACCCTTGGACCAGGACAAGCACAGGGACGTGTTAGGTCACCCTTGGACCAGGACAAGCACAGGGACGTGTTAGGTCACCCTGGGACCAGGACAAGCACAGGGACGTGTTAGGTCACCCTGGGACCAGGACAAGCACAGGGACGTGTTAGGTCACCCTTGGACCAGGACAAGCACAGGGACGTGTTAGGTCACCCTTGGACCAGGACAAGCACAGGGACGTGTTAGGTCACCCTTGGACCAGGACAAGCACAGGGACGTATCAGGTCACCCTGGGACCAGGACAAGCACAGGGACGCACCAAGCCACCCCTGGGACCAGGACAAGCACAGGGACGCACCAAGCCACCCCTGGGACCAGGACAAGCACAGGGACGCACCAAGCCACCCCTGGGACCAGGACAAGCACAGGGACGCACCAAGCCACCCCTGAGCCACGGTGAGGGACAGTCTGCCCTCACTTCACCTCACATCAAGAGCTACAGGAGCAACAATTAACACTATCCCAGATAAAACATTACAATTGTAAACGACATGTAATGAGCATTATCAAGTGAATGGATTAATCGTCATCCAGTGAGCTATTGTTTTCATGAGGAGGTCTGTCAGTGTTATAAAGGCGTCGCGGTAAAGGCTCCCGTGGCAGATGGGGCTGTGAGAACCAAGGCGGCACTTCCCAACTTCAGGAGATAATTCTTGGTGAAATATGAGGAAACGGACCCGAGATTGCCGACAGTTTGTTGATAAATGAAGAAGTTGTGATGACACACTTGGCGTGGTGGGTAGTGTAGGTGTGTAGTGTAGTGTGGGAGGTGTGTAGTGTAGTAGCCCACAGGCACGCCCAGAGGCATGTCCAGACGCACGCCCACACGCACATCCACACGCACGCTCACACACACGCCCACACGCACGCTCACACGCACGCTCACACGCACGCTCACACGCACGCTCACACGCACATCCAGACACACTCTCACACGCACGGCCACACGCACGCTAGAGCCCCGTCCTGCCCCAATGATTTCCTCAGGGAAGAAGATAATAAGAGCCAAAGAATTAAGCAATTCACCGAGGGTCTGTTGACCAATACGTGGCAGCGCCCAAACTCTTTCATGCAAGTGTCTAACCTACGATTGAAACAATCCAGCGATCTATTATCTCACCCGGTAACTTGTTCCAGGTCAACCACCCTATTTCCTAGCCGCAATTGACCGGAGTCTGCAAGTGTAAGTTATAGCGGCTGCAGGAAGAGGAAGACGAGGCAAGTGTGAACAATAGTCAGGGGCGTAAGATCACCACAGACACAAGGAAGGAGGAGAGACAATCTTGATAGTGAAGGAGAAGAATGAGCACACAGCGGAAGATAACACAAGACAATTACCACAGATAGCCAGAGTCCCACTAAAGTCACGGTTGTAAAGTGAGCTGTTGGGGTGTTGTGTGGGGGGGTTTTATCTTGAGTTATTATTATCTTGAGATGATTTCGGGGCTTTAGTGTCCCCGCGGCCCGGTCCTTGACCAGGCCTCCACCCCCAGGAAGCAGCCCATGACAGCTGACTAACACCCAGGTACCTATTTTACTGCTAGGTAACAGGGGCATAGGGTGTTGTGTGGGGGGCTGTTGATGGGGCAGGGTATTGTATAGGTAATGTTGTGGGAGTGGTGGTGGTGGTAGTGGTGTTGTTCGTTGTTTAAGATTCAGCTACTGGGAACAGAGTTGCAAGTAGCACGGGCTATGGTGAGCCCGTAGTGGACTTACCTGGCACAGGAGCGGGGCTGTGGGAGTGGTGTTATAACGTCCACTATATATGGTGATAGAGTGTGGCTGGGAGACTGACCGTGGTCGTAGGGTGTGGTGGGGGCGGTGTGGTGGTAGGTGTGGCACTGCTCCTGACTGCTGAACATCCATGGGTGCAGTGGTTCCCAGTGGTAGTCGCCCCTGATGGACGACAGGTTGGTCTGGTTGTTGTCCTCCGCCATCATGCCTGCAGAGGAGAGAGCACATTATATGCCGGCCGAGGACCACCTGTGGGCGAGGCCACACGGCCGAGGACCACCTGTGGGCGAGGCCTCGCACCACCTGTGGGGCGAGGCCACACGACCGAGGACCACCTGTGGGCGAGGCCACACGGCCGAGGACCACCTGTGGGCGAGGCCACACGGCCGAGGACCACCTGTGGGCGAGGCCACACGGCCGAGGACCACCTGTGGGCGAGGCCACACGGCGACCCAAGATAACCCCTCACCTTTCACTCTCCACCAAGCTTAACTATCTCTTATTACCAGGCAAGCTAATGTCTTCACATGCATGCGCCGAACATGGAAGATTATTTAAAAACTCCTGCTGCTCCTGCTGCCGCCGCGGCTGCTCCTGCTTCTGCTACTGCTGCTGCAGACGTGTGGGAGGGAGTCGTGTGGGAGCGCGAACAATGTGATACGAAATCAGTGGGACGAAGAGAGATCAGTTGGGAGGGATGGAGATCAATGAGAAGGAGGGAGCAAGACCGGGTGGAGGGATATAAACGAGAGGGAGAGTCCATATAGAGGGTGGGAGAGAGGTGGGAATGAAAGGAACCCATATGATGGAGAGAAAGGAACATTGCATGTGTAATTAAACCCAATAAAATATATACCAATGTTCATTCCTCTCTCCATCAACAATTGACCTGAGAATTCTGTCCTTACATAAAGGTTTTCAATCACGATTGCAGAAGCCATTTGGCAACAGGTGGTACACCAACTCCTGCCGTGAGAGAGTTGATAACAAAGCATCGACCTTAACGTGGGGTGAGAGTAATATAGAGAGCAATATAGAGAGGCCTCTATATTGCCTGACCTCTCACACACACACACACACACACACACACACACACACACACACACACACACACACACACACACACACACACACACACACACACACACACTCTCACACACACACACACACACACACACACACACACACACACACACACACACACACACACACACACACACACACACACACACCTCCCAGTAGCAATGTTGGGGTCGTCTGGGCATTTTATTAATCTCTAAATGAGCTTGTGATTTCAAAGGAAATATTTCAGAGGGGTCTGTGGCCCTCTGCCACCGCTGCTTTTGCTTATATTAATTGAAATCGTAATCGTAAAATGAAAATCAAGAGAAGTAATATATTAGCATCGTAATATATTACATAGAAGTAATATATTACATGGCGGACATAAAAGGTATATGTGCATTAGTTGTGCTTTGAGTGTGAGAGCTCTCATCACGCGATCTCCGTACAACCTTAGCGTCCAAGAATCACTCATTGTTTAACTTAGTTAAACATACACTTATAAACTTATACACTTAGTATGAGATGTTAGGACATACACATTGCGTCGTATCAACACAACACTTCCACCACGATAAGTTAGGAAGCAAGGTTGTACTAGAGTCATGTGCTTTTGGTGAGGCTGATCCCATCCACTAGGGCTGATATATATCTTAAATAATCTCATCACTTATCACTCATGAGAAAATCATGAATTTCACCACTTATCCTAAATGTCTACTACAGCATGCCGGGTCAACCATTGAGAGCATACTGCTGGCAGAGGCGGGCCTCCTGGTCATCCAGGTGTAGGTATACTGGCCCCCTACATCACACCCCTGGCACTCAGCGGCACTCTCACCCAGGGTGTATGTAAGGCAGAGGGAGAGGCCTGGCGAGATGGAGAGTGCAAGCATGGAGAGATGTAGGGAGGCGTGGGGGAGGTAAAGAGAGGGAGGAGACATGGGGAGATAGAGAAGGAGGAGGCATGGGGAGATAAAGGGTGAAAGTTGAAGAAAGAAAAGTTGAATACAACACAAATACGTGAATATATTTTATAAAACTAAAAAACCTCAGCGTATTTAATGGTGTAACAGAGTTTAGCTGGTGCCAGCCTCCGGCCCTAGCTGGCTGGTGGGCCAGCCTCCGGCCCTAGCTGGCTGGTGGGCCAGCCTCCGGCCCTAGCTGGCTGGTGGGCCAGCCTCCGGCCCTAGCTGGCTGGTGGACCAGCCTCCGGCCCTAGCTGGCTGGTGGGCCAGCCTCCGGCCCTAGCTGGCTGGTGGGCCAGCCTCCGGCCCTAGCTGGCTGGTGGGCCAGCCTCCGGCCCTAGCTGGCTGGTGGGCCAGCCTCCGGCCCTAGCTGGCTGGTGGGCCAGCCTCCGGCCCTAGCTGGCTGGTGGGCCAGCCTCCGGCCCTAGCTGGCTGGTGGACCAGCCTCCGGCCCTAGCTGGCTGGTGGGCCAGCCTCCGGCCCTAGCTGGCTGGTGGGCCAGCCTCCGGCCCTAGCTGGCTGGTGGACCAGCCTCCGGCCCTAGCTGGCTGGTGGGCCAGCCTCCGGCCCTAGCTGGCTGGTGGGCCAGCCTCCGGTCCTAGCTGGCTGGTGGGCCAGCCTCCGGCCCTAGCTGGCTGGTGGGCCAGCCTCCGGCCCTAGCTGGCTGGTGGACCAGCCTCCGGCCCTAGCTGGCTGGTGGGCCAGCCTCCGGTCCTAGCTGGCTGGTGGGCCAGCCTCCGGTCCTAGCTGGCTGGTGGGCCAGCCTCCAGCCCTAGCTGGCTGGTGGGCCAGCCTCCGGCCCTAGCTGGCTGGTGGGCCAGCCTCCGGTCCTAGCTGGCTGGTGGACCAGCCTCCGGCCCTAGCTGGCTGGTGGACCAGCCTCCGGCCCTAGCTGGCTGGTGGGTCAGCCTCCAGCCCTAGCTGGCTGGTGGACCAGCCTCCGGCCCTAGCTGGCTGGTGGACCAGCCTCCGGCCCTAGCTGGCTGGTGGGTCAGCCTCCAGCCCTAGCTGGCTGGTGGACCAGCCTCCGGCCCTAGCTGGCTGGTGGACCAGCCTCCGGCCCTAGCTGGCTGGTGGGTCAGCCTCCGGCCCTAGCTGGCTGGTGGACCAGCCTCCGGCCCTAGCTGGCTGGTGGACCAGCCTCCGGCCCTAGCTGGCTGGTGGGTCAGCCTCCAGCCCTAGCTGGCTGGTGGACCAGCCTCCGGCCCTAGCTGGCTGGTGGACCAGCCTCCGGCCCTAGCTGGCTGGTGGGTCAGCCTCCAGCCCTAGCTGGCTGGTGGACCAGCCTCCGGCCCTAGCTGGCTGGTGGACCAGCCTCCGGCCCTAGCTGGCTGGTGGACCAGCCTCCTGCCCTAGCTGGCTGGTGGACCAGCCTCCGGCCCTAGCTGGCTGGTGGACCAGCCTCCGGCCCTAGCTGGCTGGTGGGTCAGCCTCCGGCCCTAGCTGGCTGGTGGGCCAGCCTCCAGCCCTAGCTGGCTGGTGGACCAGCCTCCGGCCCTAGCTGGCTGGTGGGTCAGCCTCCGGCCCTAGCTGGCTGGTGGGCCAGCCTCCAGCCCTAGCTGGCTGGTGGACCAGCCTCCGGCCCTAGCTGGCTGGTGGGCCAGCCTCCGGCCCTAGCTGGCTGGTGGGCCAGCCTCCAGCCCTAGCTGGCTGGTGGACCAGCCTCCGGCCCTAGCTGGCTGGTGGGCCAGCCTCCGGCCCTAGCTGGCTGGTGGGCCAGCCTCCAGCCCTAGCTGGCTGGTGGACCAGCCTCCGGCCCTAGCTGGCTGGTGGGCCAGCCTCCGGCCCTAGCTGGCTGGTGGGCCAGCCTCCAGCCCTAGCTGGCTGGTGGACCAGCCTCCAGCCCTAGCTGGCTGGTGGGTCAGCCTCCGGCCCTGCCGGCAGGTCGGGAGTGTTAAGGATCATCACGGGAATTTTATAATACGTGCGTTCCATTTCTCGCGGGTTTTCTTTTGTAAGTTAAAAAATGTGTAAAAAGAGCGTTGTATTCCCTGAGAGTCAGCGCCCTGAGTGCATATATATATATATATATATATATATATATATATATATATATATATATATATATATATATATATATATATATATATATATATATATATAATATATATATAAAAAATATATAAAATATAATATATATATATCCGCCTGCATATACATACATATATATGTATATGCAGTGTGTAAATGTTGCTCATGGATTTGGGTTCGAGATTCACATAATCAATGTGTCAATGGGTGTAAAGCTAGCTATTCCAGCGCCTTAGTGTGTGGCTAACCTACTTACATCCTTCTTCTACACTTAACACTTCTTCTCTCTCTCAGTGACTCTCTGTTTCCTGTTTGCCAGGTTCTCTCTGGTCCAGTATAGCACCTTCCTTATTATCACAGCCTGCTCCTCCATCTTGTGTATCATATCAGTGTTTTTAAGTGAGCACACGATTTATCATCATTTTTATTGATCATCACACTACCACCACACCTCTCGTCACCACTTGCATCACAACATCACACCACTAACATTCTACCACCGCCACATGACCTCACATCAGCTACGTACATAACACAGACACCAAACCCTACATTATCACCACACCCCACGTCGCACATCACATTCACCACCACACCACAGTTCAAAACTATCACCACCATCTTACATTTCCTCCACTACCACACACTATCATAACTACCACTCATCACATCACCTATATGCATCGCTCCACCACCCCACATTAACACTACCTCCACACATCACCACACGCCCACCACCGCCTTACGCCGCCCACACCACCACCACCCACCATCAAACACATACCCCATCAAACAGATACGAGCCACCCTCGCCTCGTCCAGCCCTCGTAATCATTCAGGAGCGCACTCGCTCCATGTAAATAGTGGCCGAGCCCCGCTGAGAGCCGCTAAAGAGAATGTTTACACCAGATTGTTACCCATGTTTTCCAGCACCCTCCACCTGCCTTACTCATAACACCGTGTGTGTGTGTGAGGGTGGTGAGTAACCCTCCGCCTGCCTTACTCATAACACCGTGTGTGTGTGTGTGAGGGTGGTGAGTAACCCTCCGCCTGCCTTACTCATAACACCGTGTGTGTGTGTGAGGGTGGTGAGTAACCCTCCGCCTGCCTTACTCATAACACCGTGTGTGTGTGAGGGTGGTGAGGG